TGCCCTTATGGACCCTGCAACTGTCCTAGCCCAGTCAGCCTGACACCACGGCATCGACCCTGCAGCCTGAAAAGGCAGGTTCGTTAACCGGGAGCCTTGAACAGCTCTCCCGACGCTGAAGGTCCACGGCGTTTTCACGGGAAGTTGCGCGAGGGTGGGGTTTAGACCAAGGGAGGAGGAGGCAGCGTCCTGACAGGCTCCACAGCGACGGGCGCCACACGTGTCCACGCCCACCCGCCGGTGGCACGCCCACTCGCTGTGAGGTGCAGCGCCATTGGCTGACTCTTTGGGCTCCGCCCCCAAACTTCCGCTTCCGCGATTGGGGCAAATGACCGCTCTTCAGCGTCGTTGCCTGGCAACAGGCCGGGCGGCCCCAAAGGGAAAACCCGTGGGCGGCAGGGCAGACTGGACCGGAAGGCGGGTCTGGGGTCCCCGCTGGGGCGGAGCGCCGCGGTGAGCTGAGCGGGAGGCGCGGCCCGGCTGGGAGGGATCAGAGGGGACGTCCGGAGTGGGCCTGGGCCCTGCCCTCCCCGGCTGCCCACGTCTCTCCCCCGGCCTCGGGGTGGGGTTTGCGGGACGCTCGAGTGGTCACGATAAGAGGGTCCCGGGAGGTTCCTCTCCCAGGGGGAAGGCTAGCTGTCCGGAAGGGAGGGTGATGGGAGAGAGAGCTGGTGTAGACGCGGGAGGAGGAGGGTGGGGGTCTTCCTTCTAGTGTTCTGACCATGACCGATTGGGCGCTGGAGTTGAGAACTAAATTCTGGGCACAGGGGAGAGGAAGAGAAAGTGCTCCCGGGCCAGCACCCCTGCAGGTTAGCCGGGCTGTGGAGGCGGCGGAACAGGACTGTCATCTCCTGGCCCTCAGGGGCTCCTGGCCCAGGCTCAAGCTGCCCCTCTGCGGAAGGGCCTCTGGGCTCTGGGACATCAACAGGATTTAAAGCCTGGCTATCCAGAGGCGTCGGTTGGAGTCTTCCCAGGACAGAGACACTGAGGGACAATTCATGGTTCTTTTCCGCTTCCGCGATTGGGGCAAATGACCGCTCTTCAGCGTCGTTGCCTGGCAACAGGCCGGGCGGCCCCAAAGGGAAAACCCGTGGGCGGCCGGGCAGACTGGACCGGAAGGCGGGTCTGGGGTCCCCGCTGGGGCGGAGCGCCGCGGTGAGCTGAGCGGGAGGCGCGGCCCGGCTGGGAGGGATCAGAGGGGACGTCCGGAGTGGGCCTGGGCCCTGCCCTCCCCGGCTGCCCACGTCTCTCCCCCGGCCTCGGGGTGGGGTTTGCGGGACGCTCGAGTGGTCACGATAAGAGGGTCCCGGGAGGTTCCTCTCCCAGGGGGAAGGCTAGCTGTCCGGAAGGGAGGGTGATGGGAGAGAGAGCTGGTGTAGACGCGGGAGGAGGAGGGTGGGGGTCTTCCTTCTAGTGTTCTGACCATGACCGATTGGGCGCTGGAGTTGAGAACTAAATTCTGGGCACAGGGGAGAGGAAGAGAAAGTGCTCCCAGGCCAGCACCCCTGCAGGTTAGCCGGGCTGTGGAGGGGGCGGAACAGGACTGTCACCTCCTGGCCCTCAGGGGCTCCTGGCCCCGGCTCAAGCTGCCCCTCTGCGGAAGGGCCTCTGGGCTCTGGGACATCAACAGGATTTAAAGCATGGCTATCCAGAGGCGTCGGTTGGAGTCTTCCCAGGACAGAGACACTGAGGGACAATTCATGGTTCTTAGGACGATGGCCCCTTGGAGGTAGAGGGTTGGAGGTTGGCAGGCCAGGGTGGGGAATACCACGATGACAGGAACCAGTTGGAGAAGCCCCGAGAAGGAGGTGACTGAGCAGTCACCTGGACGGCCACCTCCCCAGCACTGAGGGAGGAATCTTCAGTTCCTTCTAAGCAGGGCTGTTTCCCTTGTCCCAAGGCAAGAACTCAAGGAGCTACCTTCGATTGTCTTGGGCCCATCTGTTCCTGTTTTTGGTCTCCAGAAAGCAGAATCAAATGCCTTGGGTTACCTTATTTAATCCTCTCAACAACATTAGGTTAAAGAAATTTTCGGTGACATTTGTTACTCAAGGTCATCTCAATGGGTATAGGGTCCCCTGCAGTGATATTTTACAGTGAGGGAGAGAGGTTGGGCCCAACTCCAAATACAGCATGGACAAGTGGAGATTTATAGCCAAGGAGCAGGGTGAGGGGTCAACAGATGGAAAATTACTAAGAGGAGACATCAGGGGTAAAGGGGATTCTGGCCAAACCAACCTAGCAGGATTCTTACTTCTTGCTGAAGACAGGCCAGGGTGATCAGACATCACTTCTCCCAATCCTGTCTGATCAGACAGGGCTGAGAGAGGATGAGGAACCCAATTAGATAACAAGGATGATGGGATATGGGAATGGGGGGGTTCTTGCTAAAACTAGATTTTTACAGAGAAGTACACAGATGGCTCTAGGAGCCTAATTAAAGTTTAGTCAAGCAGAGAATCATTGTCACTTATTGTGGGCTGCTGGAACTTCTTCCATTTTGTTAAGGTTCGAAAAGAATTTACTAGCTTGCCCATGGCCATAAAACCAAGTGCCAGAACCGTTTTTGCCTGTATCATAACTGCAGAGCCTGGGCCTATGCTGAGAGGAGCAAGAATTGTGGATCAGTGCACTTTAGGGCAAACTATCTTGTTCTCCTGCCCCACGTCCTTGGAAGCCAGGGTGTCTCACCTTCAGCCCTAGTGACATTTGGGGCTGGATAATTCTTTGTTGCGGTGCTGTCCTGTGATGTGTAGGATATTCAGCAGCGTCTCTGGCCTCTACAGTAGATGCCAGCAGCACTCCCTTCTCCCGTTGTGACAACCAAAAATGTATCCAACCATCACCAAATGTCCCCTGGGAGACGAACGGCCCCCAGTTGAGACTTACTTGTGCAAATAGTCTTAACGTGCTCTCTTAAAGTAACATTGAGGCGCATCCTCTTCTGAAAGAACTGGATATAGAGAAACTTACAGAAATCTTGAGACCAGTGTAAGGTCATGTTATGCACAACTTGCCATAAAAAAGGGTGTGCCACGTATCGAGATGTGCTGTGAAAGTCCCATGACTCAGAGAAAACTTGTCAGGGACTGAAAGTTCAGGAACGTTCATCTGGAGAGAAATAAGGATGTACTGAAGGCCTTCATTTCCTCCCTGAAATTAAGGAGATTTCTGGCCTGACTGAAGAGACGGAGGCAGGATGGTGAACTTTGGAACACCTTGTACCATTGCCATTTCTTAATCTTGTCTTGTGAGGGAGCTTTTGAAAAGGAGACAGGCTGTCCTTGGAGCTGTTCTGAGATGGTCCCTTCACCAGTGCCCTGCAGGCGCTAAGAATGGTGATACAGGGGACAGGGCTGTGTTTAGGGGCTGCCTGTCCTCCCACCTCTCATGGATTCCAGGCCCATAGCTCCTGCCACACCCTCCTCCCTCCTACTTGAAAAACCAGTGCTGCCAGCGTGGCTCTGCCTTCTCCTGGCACTGCCCTGTGCCAACCCTCTGCTGCTGACTGCACCTCTCCTGCGCATTCCTCCCTCAGCCTGCACCTCTCCTGCTCATCCTGCCCTCTGGTCCTCTCTGCTGGCAGCTTGCCCAGCCTTGTCCTTTTCTCATAAATGTTTGGGGGCCCTGCTGAGGTCTGGCCAGGCTGCGCTGTTCTGCTGTCTTCAGAGGCCATGTGTTGTGTGATTTCGTTTACGTGAAATGTCCAGAATAGAGAAATCCATAGAGTCAGGGTAGATTAGTGGTTGCTGGGGAAGAGGGGATGGGAAGAGACTGCTGATGGGTATGGGGTTTACTTTTGGGGTGATGAAAATGTTTTGGAACTAGACAGAGGTGGTGTTTGTACAACACTGAGTGGATTAAATGCCACTAAATTTTACACTTTAAAATGGTTAATTTTATGTTATGTGAATGTCATCTCAATTAAGTGAAATATAGAAAAGGAAGGTCCTGACTGCACCTGTTGTCACTTGAGGTTTTGAATAGTTGGGTCTTGATGGGGACTGTTGTTTGCACTCCATGCCTGCCTGGATGGCCTCCCCTCCCTCGGCTCAGCCTGTGGGAGATTTACTTTTGCATTGACTTAGTTTAACAAGCTGCCTGTGCAGGAGAAAGTGGTCATCTCTCCAGCAATCTCACCAGCACAGGGTTTCCAGAAAACATCTGAGGACAGGAATTAAAACTCACAGCACTTTGTCTCGTGAGAGATTTTTTTCATCTCTAACCACGATTAGTTTGAATCCCCCAATCCGTTGCCACTTGACCGCTTTCTGTAATGAGGTCTGTGACGGTGAACACAGCCCCTGGTCACTGCTGCTGGCTCCCACCTCTGTTAGCACTCCTGCCGCACCTCACAGATGTGGCGCTGGCTGGGGTCTTACAGGCAAGGTCAGCGCCAGGCCCCGTTCTCAGCCCTTCGCTCTGGCTGACTTGTTTAGTTATCACAGCAATGTCCTGCAGCCGGGCTGTGATTATTCCCATTTTCATAGGAGGAAATCAAGGCACAGAGAGTTTCAGCAGCTCTCCCAAAACCACAGCTGGTAGACAAAACCAGGACCACAAAGAAAAACTTCTCAGATAGCACACCCGCTTTACAGGCGGTGTTTTCAAGGTGATTTTATTCAAATACACGTAAACCTTAAAAAGTGAGTAGTTAGAATGATTTAACACAGATTTTCTTCCATACCTTTTAGTTACATTAGCTTAGGAAGTGTGTTCTCAAATAACTTTGACAGTCACAAGTGTGCTTTGGGAGATCACAGGAATCGGGACGGGGCTTTCCCATTTATTGGTACCAACTATTAATTTTTCCCACATTGAAACAGTATGATGTGGCTCTAATGCATTCGTTTTAGCTGCATTTTTCTGCTAAATCAATATCTATTAACTTAACCATATAATCGTCAACACTTATTTTCTATGATTATTACATTTTTGATTTTCCTCTCTAACCTTGTGTCCTTTCCTTCTGCAGAGACTTGTCCCAGCCGTAAGGAGAGATGGGGAACAGCAAAAGCCGTTCGGGGCAGAGGTGCTGCTCACAGTTTCTTCCCGAGGAACAGGCTGAGATCGACAGGCTGTTCGATGCTCTCTCGTCGGATGAAAGCTGCTCAAGTACCTCGCCCCGGTCCTTCTCTCTGAAGGCTCTAAAGGCAAGAATAACAACCAGCAGCCTACGTGTAGTCGGGAGTGGGGGTCTGCGAACTATGGCCCTCGGGCCAAAATGGGGACGAAAAGATTGTCTTCTGTGAAGGGCCAGATAGTACGTATTTCTGGCTTTGTGGGCCTGCGGTCTCTGCAGCAGCTGCTCTGCTGTGCCGCTGTAGTGTAAAGTAGCCAGAGACAGTGTCTAAACATGTCTCTGCCCTTCTTTGAAATCAATACGGGGCCTTATCTGTACGGAGGAAAGGGACTCAGAGTAGATAAGGAATGATTTACATAATGATTTGGGGCATTCTAACTAGATCGATACCGGAGGAGACAGCCTGTTTCCTATCTCCTGAGCCACACGTCCTGGCTGCCCTCCCAGAGATTGGGTCACAGGCCGGATGATGCCTTAGCAGATTTGGAGATCCAGAAACCATAAAGTTGCAAGTGCACCTAGAATTTGTAGCATTTGATGTCCTAGGAATTTATGGTACTCCTTACAAAATAATGAAGTTACAAATTCCAGATTCCTCTTATAGGGAGTTGAAACTCTCCATTTTCCAATCTTGTTACCCTGTTCCGTGGGGTTCTTGACGGCATGTTTGAGGGCTCAGACTGAGGCAAGACACTGGCAAGGAGAGAGCATGAGCTCATCTCGGGAGGTGGGGAGGGGAAGCAGTCTGTGCAGGCATCCTTCCAGCCTCCTCTTCTAGAACGTGCAGAGAGGGAGCTGATGTAGGCATTTGGGGATCCCCTGACATGTTCATTTTACAGATGAGGAGGCTGGCCCAGTAGGTTATCCAGGTCATGTTGTTGTGGGGTATGTGCATGTGCGTGCAGGGTGTGTGTGTGTGTGTGTGTGTGCAGGGTGTTTTGTGTGTGTGTGTGCAGGGTGTGTGTGTGTGTGTGTGTGTGTGTCTTCACTGGGTCGAAGGCGTCCCAGCTGGCCTAGGGCACACACTGAGCTGGAGCACAGGGAACCAGACAGTTACAGAGTGAGTGGCACCATCCATGAGTGTTTGTCAAGACAAATATGGTTAAGAGTTGATCAGAAGAGGACCGGCAACGGGATCGCAACCCTCGGCGTTGCGCCCGCACCTCGCTCAGCCAGTGAGCGGCCGGTCTGTATGTGGGATCCGAACCCTCGGCGGGAGCGCCGCCGCACTCCCAAGCGGCGCACTGTAGCAGTGCGCTACTGGGCCGGCCCACAAAGTACTTACTTTATAAACATGTTACTCTTTAGCCAGATTTTTAAATGCTCCTTGGAAATAGGTTATATCTTAAAAATTAATTTAGGAATATCTCTCTCTATATATTTAACTGTAGCTTGTCTTATGGATGAACTACTTATCAGTCTAAGTCAGTATTTTTAAAAGAGTATCATAAATATAGAAAATTAAAGTTGTCATTTAAGTAGGAAAAGTTAAGTTGGGTGATTAAAATTATCCTCAATATTTCAAGTAATACACGGGTAGTGAAAAATGGAAAGTATTTGAAAAATAGTTTGATTAGACATGACAGGAATTTTGAAATATTGTATAAATTGGGAAGTAGAAGATTAAGTAGTTGGGTTTCTGTTTCTCCTGGTTAATAAAGTGGGCCAAGTTAGAGAAGATGTTGGTATTTCAGGTCAGATCCAAAATGTCCATAGGTTGGGAATTACAATAGCTGTAAATTGAGCCTTTGCATGTGTCAGTAAGATTAAAACATAAAATCTCCCCTCATCCTCATAACAACCAAGTGGGGTAGGTTCTAGCATTACCTCCATTTTACACATGAGGACACTGAGTCAGAGGGAAGACCTTGCCAAGGTCATGGAGGTAGTGGGCCGGGGTTGGAGCTGGGCTGCGTGAGTCGCAGGTGTGTGCTCCTGCAGTGTTACCGCATCACCTCCATGCTTGGGAGGAAAGAGAGGGAAAGCGGGACCACAGATGTCACTTGAAAATGAAAATAATTTATAACTAATGACACCCATTCTCCCCAGATCAACTGGGGGAGGGGGGCCAGCAGCAATAAGTTACCAAGCGCCACCCTGACTTGCCTGGAGAACACACTTCTAAGGACTTTCTAGATGACTTTGTCAGGGCAGAAGCCCCCAGAGGGGCAGCTTTGGTGTAGCTCTCTCTGGGACTGATTGCTGAGGAGTTTTGGGGCCGGGCTGTCTCCTGGGCTTCTGAAATGCAGCTTGGAGAGGAGAGAAAGGATGAGTGTTGATGTTGAATTGTTCAGATCAGCGCCAGCCAACAGAAATAAAGCAAGCCCCATGTGGAGTTTTTAACTTTTCTAGTAGCCACATTAAAGTAGTAAAAAGAGGGCCGGCCCGGTGGCGCACTGCTACAGTGCGCCGCTTGGGAGCGCGGCGGCGCTCCCGCCGAGGGTTCGGATCCCACATACAGACCGGTTCCCGCTCACTGGCTGAGCGAGGTGCGGGAGCAACACTGAGGGCTGCGATCCCGTTGCCGGTCCTGGTCTGGTACGGGCGCGACACTGAGGGTTGCGATCCGTTGCCGGACACGAAAAAAGACAAAAAGGAAAAAAAAATAGTAAAAAGAAACAAGTGAAATTAATTATAAGAATATGTCCAAAGTAAAATTTTAACATGTGATCAATGTAAAAAAATTATTGAGATATTTTACATTTTTTTTTTATACTAGGTCTTTCAAACCAGGTGTATATTTTACTTAACAGCACATCTCAACACAGATGAGCCACATTGCAAGTGCTCAATGGCCATGGGTGGCTCGTGGCTCTTGTACTGGCAAGTGCAGGTTTAGATAGTAGCTATAAAGTGATGATATTGACTGTCCCGTCCCTCAGGTGGCGAGAGGCTTCTGGGGCCTCAATGGCTGGACTGTGACTGTGACCGAGCCACGATCGAGGACTGGGTGTTCAGGTCCCCCCACGTGGCCACGTTTCTGAGTGTGGTCATCCACAAAGGTTTGCTCGTCCTGTGCTCGTCCCTCGACCTGGCCAGCCTGGTCCCAGAGCGCCAGGTGGACCAGGGGAGGGAGTTTGAGAGCCTCCTGGACGTCCTGTCAGTCATCTACTTGGACTCCCACCTGCCCAGGGAGTGGCAGCACCGCTGGCGTCTTCTCTTCTCGTCCGAGCTCCATGGGCACAGCTTCTCCCAGCTCTGCGGACGCATCACCCATCGGGGGCCCTGCGTGGCCCTCCTTGAGGACCACGATGGCCATGTGTTCGGGGGGTTTGCCTCCAGCTCCTGGGAGGTCAAGCCTCAGTTTCAAGGTAGGACTCGGCGACCCAAACCCCCAAGGTAGCATAGTGCTGGTGAGACAGAGGACAGAGGAATTAGAAATGTCCTGCCATCTCCTCCAGGCGTTTTCTGGACATGATCAGGGTGATAGTCACATGTGATGCTGCTTTATGGAGGCTTAACACATCACGGATGTCTTTTTTGATCCTGGCAACAGGGAACAGTAGCAGACAGGCCTGGTCATGCCCAGCCTTTGGGTCAGGCCCAGCGTTATTAAGCGGCACCAGGTATACAGGTCATGGGAGAAGTTGGCTGTGGATGCCTTGGAGGGACCAGGAGGCGTTGCTGCTTCCAGTTCAGACCTCTCTCTTACCATGAGCAGCTGCCCTCCTTCCTGGCCTGCTCTATGCATGCTTGCTTTTCTGCCTTTGCCTTTCTTTTCTGCTGTAGTTTTCCTGTTTTCTGATTTCTCTGATAAAAATGGTCCTTTAAAAATGTTTACAAAGCTCATTTCCCGGGTGGTGGGCTGCTCTCTGTACTCAGAGGTGAGCCTGCTGTCACCAGGATTTGAATCGTCGTGTTTTCCCTGGCACATCCCCATGCTCTTAGTAGGGCTCCTCGGGGGCCGGTGGCTGTGACATGGAGGGCCGTCACGGCTCTAACAGAGACCAGATGAGCCCCAGCTTCACGGCTGTGAGCTGAACAGAGCAGCCTGGCTGTTGGTGTTCTGGGGAGGGGTCCTCCCAGTGAGTCCTTCCTTAGGCCGGCTCAGTGGAACGGGAGGATCCGGGGACCTCCCATGATCCTGAGATGCGAGAGACAGGGGAGAAAGGCCTCGTGGCCCTGTGGGACACCAGCTCACTGGATTCTGCCTGCGGCCCTCCCATCTCTCTCCTCTGTCTCTTTCTCTCAGTGGCCTTACCGCTGCCAGCTTCTGCCTGGCCTCTACCACCTTCTGCCTGGCCTCTGCTGTCAGCCTCACCCTGGCAAATCTGACATGCTGCTCACCTCCCAGGAACCCTCGAGCAGACCCCCCTGCCCTCAGGGCAGTGCACCTTATGTCATGGCAAAAGGGTCCGGGGCTCTGGCCTCACTACCCACTCCTGTCCCTTTGTGCTCTGAGCTCAGTGTTACTGAACTACCTGCAGTTTCCAGAACAGGCCCAACTCTCTCATTGACGGGGCTTGGCACACACTGCTCTTTCTGCTCTGCCACCTGTCTGCACACTCAGCTCCTTGTTGGGACTCAGCCCAGGGTCACCTCCTCCAGGAAGCCTCCTTAACCATGCAAAGGCCATGTACTTCCATGTGTCCTCTATCTGACCACACGTCACTGGAATTGCTGCTCTCTTCCCTCCAGTAGGCAGAGCTTCTGGAGGCCACGGGGGAACTGTCCGGTGGAGAGCTGCCATTCCTGGAGGGCTTTTAGCAGAGGCTGGGTGGCCATTTGCCTGGGATGGTTGGAAGAAATCATTAGGTGAAGGGTTGGGTACCTCTATTCCTGAGATCCTCTTGTTTCTAGGATTTGATTTATTTCTAGGTTTCAGAATGTTCCAGATCTTTAAAACAGTTGCTGCTCCCAAGTCCTTCCCCACTGTGATGGGGGTCCCCAAGACCACCCACACATCAGTGATTCATAGAAGGACTCACAAACTCAGCGTATAGTTGCCCTCACAGCTATGATTTATTAGCTATGATTTATTATGATTTGTTAGCTATGATTTATTATTATTTGGGAAAGGACGCAAAGTCGGCCCAGGGAAAAGGTGCGTGGTTGAAGTCCAGGGAAACCGGGCACAAGCATCCATGGGTCCTCTCCCAGTGGAGTCACAGAGGATGTACTTAATTCCCCCAGCAATGAGCTGTGACAACACATATGAGATATTCTCTACCAGGGAAGCCCACAAGAGACTCAGTGCCTAGAGTTTTTATTGGAGGCTGACCAGAGAGGCCCCTCTGAGTGATGTACCAGAATTTCTGACTCCCAGGAGGAAAGTGGGTGCTTGGCACAAGCCATGCCTTTTTGCACAGCGTAGATGTAGTGAGCTGTTCGAACCAGCTAGAGAGTGGCAGGAACCTCCCAAATTCAAGTTCCCAGACACCAGCCAAGAGCCGACCTTGCAAGCAGCCTTTCAGGGATAGTGGCCCCAAGTCTACTGCGTGAGCTCTTTTCTGCACCCCCATGTCTCCCTGCCACAGTGTCACCGGAATGGGGCACCTTCCCCTGCCAGCCTGGCCTCGAGGCTGTGGGGAAATTACCGGTAGCCCTGTCTCACTGTGCAGCTGGAGGCTCTCTGCTTTGGGATATGAAAAAATCCTAAGAATCATTATAGGTAAAACTTCTGCTTCCTCCAGCTCCTTTAATATTAACTTCAAGTTGACTCTGCTGAGTCTTCATGTTTTATTAACAAGCAGATTTAATCTTCCTGAAGGATAGTGGAAAGATACAATGCCCAAGTTTTCAAACTTGAGCTCCTTCTGTTCTGAGACATGAGGAGGAAATTCCAGCAGAGGGCAGCCTTGCACCACGGTGGCGCAGATCCCTGGGCTTTGGGTCAGGTTCAGAGTGTTCTGTCTGTCGGTCCTGGAGATGATAACTCTAAGCTCTGAGGCACTAAGCGATGTAACAGCCATGGGCATCACTTCACTTTTTCTTGTTTTCTGTGCTGTGGCTGAAAAGATCTGAGGCTTCGGATTGAGCAGTAGGATTTCAAGTCCCAGCACTGGCCCTTGGCCTGATGCTTACCTCCCATAATGACATGAACTGCACTGTATGGGCAGATAGCTCGTCAGCTGTTTAGTGCTGGGTGGTGGTCACTGAATGGCTGGGTGTCGCTACTATGAGAATTAGATAAGGAGCCCCCACTATTGGCTTGACATTTTTTTGCAGGTAACCTTGCCCCTGTATCCTAGCGAGTAATGTTTCCCCTCCATGGCCTTCCCCACTGAGAACAGACCCGAGGCTGACCAGAATGTGGGCCCATCACAGCTGAGGGGTTTGCTCTCTGTGTCTCTGTCACCTTGCTTGGCATCTGGGCCAGGATTGCACAGCACAGTGATGCTTCTCCAAAGGCCAGTGCAGGGGTGGGGTGCAGTAGGGTGTGCCCTGGCAGTTCTTATCTAAACCTGCCCAAACCAATGAAGCAGACCAGGGACTCTTGTTGGGAGTAAAGCCCCTCCAGTGTGCAGTTCTAGTTGACCTTCTGGCCTAATCGCCCTTCTTCCCCCTCCTGACACAAACCCTCCGGTGGGACTAGAGGGCCCCTGCTGTCCTTGCACAGGGTCTGTCTTCCATGAGTGGCTCTCATCCCAGCCAGCTCTGTCTCAGGATGTCCCTCCTGACCTGGGAGTCTGGCTGATGTGCCGCTTCCAGGAGCCTCCCCGACCCTGGCCACAGAGGCCACCCCACAGGCCTGTGAGGCCTGAAGGCCACGGGTGTGCTTCAGCTGTTCTCTGCAGAGCATCCTCCTTCCCCTGAGGCCCTCAGCCCTCAGATCCCCTTCACGTCTGTCCTCCATGTTCGTGCTCCCAGTCTGCTTCTCAGGACTTCCTTCCCACCTAACAGAAGCCCCCCAAAAAGCTCCTCTGCAGGCCTCCACGGCTTATTTTGGCAGTCATGTGACCTTCACAACATCAATATTGAGGCAGGCAGACGCTGTGGGGAGCGCCTCTCCCATGACTCCCTCACTGGGGCTCCCTGAGGGTGAGGCATGGGCTCATCTCCACACCCACCCACCCCCAGTGCTGAGTGTGCTTATGGAATGAGGGGCTCAGAGACTTGGGACCCTGCCCATTTCCAGAGTTTTGACCAGTAGTTTTCTTTTAGCGGCACGTGTGCCCAGCTCTCTTCCCTTCCCAGCAGGTCGTGCCCTGTGGGCAGCTCTGCACCCTCAGGTTTTCTCTCTCTTGCATGGTGCATTCTTTCAGGTGGGAACTCTCCCCTTCCTCATGAGTTAAAGGGAGACCTGCTTTTTCCAATTTTGATGTGCTTGGCAGGCAAACAGTGGGCAGAGTTCTGATCTCTGCTTTTCCTGGCCAGAGCTAAAAGATGTCCTGAAACAGAGGTCATATTCCTTACCAGCTGTCATCCTAATCCCAAACCTCCAGCTCATCCACCCTGGCCCCTGGGCAGCTGTCAGGCTTGTCCTGCATGGGGTCTGGGACCTGTCCTGATCCCCAGGCTGCTGACTTCCAGATGTCAGGAGTTTAGGGCATACCTGGAGATGGCAGGAAGGTCTTGCTGCGCTGTCGTCTCAGCCAAAGCTCCCTCATGTTTCCTGCTGTCTTTGTGCCCAGCTCTGACATGGTGACCGTGTTTGTTTTGCTCTCTGGCCACTTTCAGGGGATGACAGATGCTTCCTGTTCTCCATCTCCCCCAGCATGGCGGTGTACATGCACACAGGCTACAACGACCACTACATGTACTTGAACCATGGACAGCAGACGATCCCAAATGGACTGGTAAGGGCCTGGAGAGGATTCTGCGCTGGAGTCGGTCCTAATGCTCGGCCCCTCCACAGATGGGGGAGCTGCGGGGGGTCTAGCTGCATGTACGTGACACGTCCAGCTCCTTCTGCCCCCTTCTCAGTGCTGGGAGCAGCGGCAGCTAGGACAGGATTTCCCTTAGGGAAGGACGAAGCCTCCCTGCGGCTTTTCAATGGTGTGCATGCATGCGGTGAATGCAGACCACTTTCCTGCCTCTCAGATGATCTGTTTGTGGCCTTTGTGGCTTGAGACGGTGTTGGTGCCAGGCCCTTGACCCTCTCCCCTCCCACATTGGTTGAACTTTAATACAGAGCTGCACGGATCACATCCAGGTGGTCCTGCATGTGCTTAACCACGACACAGAGCCAGTGCCAAGAAAAATGCCTCTCCTGCCATATATTGATTGGTGGGTGTATCTCTCAGAAATCTTATGTGTCCAGTTAGACACTTAATCTTATACTTTGTTCATTTCCTATCAATGAAATCCAAAGACGCTGAGACATTTGAAACCTCTGTTGGAGTTAGTGTTTGTTTGGAATGTGAGCTCTTGCCATGGAGGAGGGGGTTCCACCCCGAGGGTCACTTGGCCTCTGCTCTGGCCATCCCGGTTAGAAAGCATGCCTTGAGGGTCCATTTTGACTGGTAAAGCTCAGATGATGAGAATCTTGATGCTTTTGGGGAACAGCTTCCGATGGCGTGGAATTTCTTGTATGTATTAAAAATATTAATGGGGAGAATAGCCAAAGACTTTGAAGTTAACATGGCCTCACAGTGGCATGGATCCTCAAAAGGTGTTTGTAATTACGGTTCCGCATGTAGCTTTCTCAGCTTTTAAAAAATGAACCTTTGCTATGAACAAACAGGAAAACTGGGAGATCTATGTACAGAGAAGCAAGGCTGTGCTCTTGGTGCTGACTTAAATGTGGGGCATGTCCAGGGGCCATAAGTTTAGGAGCTTGGTCAGTATAAATGTATGGTCCATCCCATAAATCAGTGGTGAATTCCAACCCAGTGCTGGCCTGAGTTCTAGACCCCTGGGCACCAACATGATTGGTATCGCCACTTGCCCAGGGCTGCTTCTGAAGGGAATAATGGGGAATTCAACAGCGTAGACTCACTTTGAACAAACTCCAGTGATCCTGAAATAGCGAAGGTTACTTAGGGTTGGGCCTCGGAGCAGAGCTGTGCTCTCCCCATCTGAGACAGGCCTGAAAAACTAAACACACTGTGAGTCACCAGTTGACACACTATCGAGAATTCCCTTCTTAAAGGAGCAGTGAGCTCGTCTCTAAGATACATACCTCTTCCTTTTGTCTTTGCTGTAGATCTTGACCTTTTGCATATCTGATGAAAATGCAGCCATTTATTATATACTTTGCCTTGAGTACAAGCCATGGTAAATTGAGCTATTTGCATTTTGCAGGTTCTGCATTTTCTACCAGGAGGCTCAGCAAACCTACTTGGCAATATCCCTGACTAAGGCAGAAGGCCTCATAAATTAGCCTGCAAAAGAAAAGTGCATGCTCAGACAGTATGTGGAGGGGCAGGAGTGTGACACAGGACAGGATTTAGTTGTGATTGATTCTCCTTATAAGAAGCCAGTTTTTAATAGCTTCTGAGTACATTATGTGATCTTCCTGATAGGACAGCAGGTACAGAATATTGGGATCCTCAAATATCCCTACTATCAATCCAAAGAATTAGGTTCCCAATTGTCACTTTGTTTTAGAATGTTTTTTGTAAAAATGCAATTAAATACCTCACTAATAAAAGGTCTATCAGTGTCTGTACCTTGAGTACCATGTGTTGCTGCCTCTGTTTGTGGCTGTCAGAGGAGGTTATGGTTTTGTCTGCCCACACGTGTTTCTACCTTGTGCTCGCTCCTATGAGAGCACAGATCACAAACGGGGATCTGTTTCCCAAGAAGCTTTGCCTTACACAACGCAAGGAGGGCGCCTGGTCCAGGCACTTGGTAACCTGGGGGTAGGGTTGGACAGTGGCGACAGCCGTGGATATCTTTTGGTGTGAGATTCTGCCTCTTAGCATGTGAACCTTTTGTCAGAAACCTCTCAGCACACAGACCTTTTGCTCTAAGCACACAAACCTGTTCAGGGTGTCAGCCACTTTGCCTTACACAACGCAAGGAGGGCGCCTGGTCCAGGCACTTGGTAACCTGGGGGTAGGGGTGGACAGTGGTGACAGCCGTGGATATCTTTTGGTGTGAGATTCTGCCTCTTAGCATGTGAACCTTTTGTCAGAAACCTCTCAGCACGCAGACCTTTTGCTCTAAGCACACAAACCTGTTCAGGGTGTCAGCCGGGGCCTCGGACCTGACAGACTGCTTTACCTGAGTCTGAGAAACTTGTGACGGTAGCTTTAGCAAACGGGGAGTGTGTTCTTTTGTGAAACTGTAATAATTTAGCTGGTAGGGACTAGAGAGGTCTGCCTCCAAGTGAAGACTGATCAGGGCCCTGGAAATGTGGGAAGGAAGAGGTAAAAAAAAAAAAAAAATTACAGTCCATGTTGCAGACATGATGATTGTTATTTTCCCCCACCATATTTTATTTTAGAAATGAACATGTGTCCATGGTAAAAAAAAAAATAAGATTGAAATACAAGAGGCTATGACTTGAAAGGAGCCATCTCCTGCACCTCTGTAGCTGTTTTCCCTCCCACGAGGCAACACTGCTGAAGATAAAACCACTCGGGTCTCCCTCCAGGGATGACTCATCGCACATGGAAGCATAGCTGTATTACACACTAGTGCGTCCCTCACTTTTTGTGTGGGGATTGTGCCACTCCCATCCATCTCCATCTCACTCTGTTCCTCGGCTGCGTGACGTCCCCTGATACGGTGCTCCATTGAGCCTAGCCTTAAGTGTCCCCAGCAGGGGAGGAGCTTGTTGTCTGCAGCTGATCATTGCTGTAGTGAACGGCCTTTACATGTGTCTCAATGTGATTATGTCTGTAGGATGAACTCTTAGAAGCTGAATTGTTGAATTGAAAGGTATGTGATTTTAATCTTATTTAGATATTGAAAAATTAATAAACCTCTCAAGCTCAATTTATACTCCTAACATGCCAGAGTGACTGCCATGTTTTCAACAACACTATATTAAAATTTAGTTTCTGCCATCAAGTCATGTGTTGGTGCATATTCAGACCCATTAGATTTGCAGTGGCGATGATGTCTTATTAAATTCCCCTTTGCTTCACTTAATGCTTTTGGCCTTGATTTTAATCTTGTCTGACATTAATAGTGCCACCCCTGTTGTGTGTGGTTTTCATTTGCCTGGTATATTTTTGCTAAATTTTGGGTTTTTTTTCTTATCAACTTTATGTTGAAATAATTTTAGATTCACATAGAAGCTGCAAAAATAGTACAGAGTCCCTGTGTACACATCACCCAGCTTCCCCCAATGAAAACATCTCACAGAATCATACCACAATTAATAAAACCAGGAAATTGACCTTGATACGATACTACTAACTAAACAGCAGACTTTATTTGAATTTCACCAGTTTTCTACATAGTACCTGATTTTAGGAAAAACTAAGGTTAAGGGCAAAGTCTGCTCGAGACTTCTGACATCAACTACAAGTTTGGGGGCTTCCCAAAACCACCTTCAGGTTTGATAGTTCATTAATAAGACCCACAGAACTCACGGGAAACTTTGGTACTGATGGTCACGTTCGTCAGAGGGGAAGGATACAGAGCAGAAGCAGCCAGGAGCAGAATCCGGGAGGGCTCTAGAAGCAGAGCTTTGCTCTTCCTCTCCCTGAGTCCTACTAGTGAGTCACTGAGCCTGATGGTGGTCTTGAGGACCCTCAACACAAGTTCCCTGAAATTTTATGACATGTATCAGTTCATGTCACCACCACCACAACAGGATACAGAAATAGTCTGTCACCCCCAAACATTCCCTGTGCTACCCCTTTGTAGTCACCGCCTCCTAATCTGTTCTCCACTATTCTGTTGTCACTTTGAGAACATAATGTACATAAATGGAATCATAGTACGTAACCTTTTAAGACTGACTTTTGTCTCTCAGCATAATACCCCTGAGACCCATCAAGCTATTCTGTGAGTGTCCCTTTTGCTGACAACGAGTGTCCCACTGCATGGATATGTGACATTTGTTCATATCCATTTGTTTGTTCACCCACTTCAGGACATTTGGGTTGTTTCTAGGATTTGGCTCTTACAAATAAAGCCACCATGAATACTCTTGTACAGGTTTTTGTGGGAACCTAAGTCTTCTCTAGGATCAATACTTAGGAATCAGATGTCTGGGTCATATGCTAAGTGCACAATTAACTTTGTAGGACACTGCCAGACTGTTCTCCAGAGTGGCTGTAGCAGTTACGTCCCCACCAACAATGTATTTGAGTTCCAGATGCTTGGTTTCCTTGTCAGCACTTAGTACTGTCAGTGTCTTTCTTTCACTTTAGCCATTTTAATAGGCACGAATGGTACCTCATTGTGGTTTTAGGTTGCATTTCTTTACTGGCTAATGACACTGAACATATTTTCATGTGTTTATTTACCATCTGCATGTTTTCTTTGGTGAAGACTGCTGCCCATTTCTCAATTCTAAGTTTTGAGTTTAAAATATTCTGAATCCAAGTCTGTTGTTGGATATGTGATTTGGAAATACTTACCCAGTCTGTGGTTTATATTTTTATTCTCTTAATAGTGTCTTTCATGAGTAAAACATTAATTTTGATGAGATTAAGTTCATCAGTTTCTTTTATGGATAGTACTTTCAGTGTCTTGTGCAAGAACTCTGCCTAATCCCAGGTCCCAAGGATTTTCTGGAATCTTTTCTTCTGTGTTGGTCTATGGCCCATTTTGAGTTAATTTTTATAGAAGGTGTGAAGTTAGTTCAAGGGATTCTGTTTTAATTATGGGTGTTCACTTGTTCCAACACCATTTGTTGAAGGGACTGTCTTTTCTGCATTGAATTGCTTGCTCAGTTGGCCTGTGTGGGGGCTATTCCTGGACTCTATTCTGTTCCATTGGTCTGTGTGTCCACTGCTCTACCAATATTACACTGTCTTTATTATCGTAACTATGCAGCATATCTAAAATTGGGAAGTATGTTTCTTCCAACTTTATTCCTCTTTTTCAAAATTGGTTTAGCTGTTTTAGTTTGTCTTTTCATATAAATTTTAGAACAAGTTTATGTAGGTCTACAAAAAAAATCCTGCTGGGATTTTGATAGTATTTATGTTAAACATATAGACCAATTTAGGGGAGAATTGATATCTTTACTATGTTGAGTCTTTGAATCCTTGAACACAGTATGTCTCTCTATTTAGGTTTCCTTCAGTTTCTCTCATTGGCATTTGGTACTTTTCAGCACATAGATCCTATATATGTTTTGTTGGTTTATACCTAAATATATATATTTTTTTAGTTATTGTAAATGGCATTCAATTTTTCATTTCAATTTCTGATTGTTTATTGCTACTATATAGAAATACAATTGATTTTTGACTGTTAACTTTGTATCTTGTGGCCTTACTAAACTCACTAGTTCTAGGAGGGTTTTTCTTCCTTTTTTTCTAAAAAGATTACTTGGGAACTCTGATGTAGATAATTATGTCATCTGTGAACAGGGTCAGTTTTGTTTTCTCCTTTCCAATCTCTTTTACGGTGACTTTTTTTTCCCTTGCCATATTGCACTGGCTATGATTTCTAATACTATGCTGAATGGAAGTTGTGAGGTCCGATATCCTTGTACCACATCTTAAAGCATTCAGTCTTTCATTAAGTTTGACATTAACTATAGGGTTTTTTTTTTTGTAGATACTCTTTATCAGGTTGAGGAAGTTTCCTTCTATTCCTAGTTTGCTGAAAACTTTTCTTATAAATGGGAATTGAATTTTGTCAAATGCTTTTTCTGCATCAATATAACTATGTGGTTTTCCTTCTTAAGACTATTAACATGGTGAGTTATATTAATTTTTGAATACTGAACTAGCCTTCCACTCTTCGGTTAACCCCACTTGGTCATGCTGTCTTGACTCTTTATATATGAGCAGATCTGGTTTACTAATATTTTGTCAATGATTTTTGTGTGTATGGTCACAAAGGATATTGTCTGTAGTACTGTTTTTGTCTAGTTTTGGTATCAGGGTAATTCTGGCCTCAAAATGAGTTGAGAAGTGTTCTTTCCATTTTATTTTCTGGAAGAGATTGTATGGAATTCTTTTTTTTTTTTTTCCTTTTTGTCTTTTTTTCGTGACCGGCATTTACAGGACTACTTAGATTATTTCATCTCCAGCGAGTTTTGGTAGTTTGTGGTTTTCAAGAAATCTTAAAATTTCATTTAAATTACTGAATATAGGTGCATAAAGTTGTTCATAGTATTATTCCTTTATTATTACTGGAATATCTTGAGGGGTCTGTGGAGATATACTCTTCTTCACTTCTGACATTGGCAATTTGTCTTTTTTTTTCTTTTGATAAACTTCTAGTAAGATTGACAACTGTATTCGTCTTTTCAAAGAATTTTTGATTGATCTCTATTTGAGTTTGTTGATTTCTGCTATTTTTATTTTGGTGAACGTCTCTCTGCTGTTGATGGAGTGTTCTATGAATATAAATCAAACTAAGCTGCTTAATGGTGTTCAAGTCTACCATATCCTTGATGAAAAGGGCTTCATTTTCATATAGTCCAATTTATCCATTACACTTTGTTAGTATTTGTATCTTGTTTAGTAAAGTTTTATCCTATTTTTGTTCCCCAAAGCTTTATTGTTTTGTCATTTACACTTATGATCTATCTTGTTTGTATGTTATAAGTGAGGGTTAAGAGTATTTTTTGTTGTGATTGCAAATATCAATCAACCCTGATTGTTTTTGATTATTTATGTATTTTTTAATGAGAAGCATATTTCTTGTGCCAGCAATTTGCCAAAAGGACAGTGGGGAGTGTCCCTGACTCAGGGAAGTCCTCTAGCAGGCTGCATGTGTGATATTGCAATTGACACAGGTTGGTGGTTTCTGGGCAGATGCCAGCCCCCTGGGTCTGCCACTTGCTGGGGTGGCACATCTGTGCATCTCCTGCATTAAGCCCTGCTGTCATGGGTGGGGGTGCAGAGGTGCTCCTCCCCCAGGCTGTGAGTCACACTTAGGAGGACTCTGCACTCTGCCTGGGAACTGCAGGGGTCCCCTCTGACCTTTCTCATCCTGGTCTGGCTCAGGTGTTACCACCCTGGGCAGCCTTTCTCACGGCAACTATGGCTGGGTATGATGGTCACTCGTGTGTCAACTTGGCCAGGCCATGGTGCCAGTTATTTGGTCAAACACCAGTCTAGATGTTGTTGTGAGGTATTTTGTAGATGGGATTTACATTTAAACCAGTAGACTTTGAGTGAAGCAGATTATCCTTCATAATGTGGATGGGCCTCATCTAATCAGTCGAAGGCTTTAAGAGAAAGGACCCAGGTCCCCTGAGAAGAAAGGAATCCTGCCTCTGGACTCAAGACTGTCACATCAGCTCTCCCTGGGTCTTCAGCCTGCCCTAAAGATGTTGGACTTGCCAGCCCCAACAGGCACGTGAGCCAGTTTCTTAAAACAAATCTCTCTCTCTTCTCCATCCTGTTGCTTCTGTTTCTCTGGAAAATCTGACTAGTCTCTGGGGGGTTATTTCAGGAGAGATGGAGACACATTCTGGTTCTCCCTGGTTTTGTCTGCTGCCAGCAGAATGCGGGCATGGAGACCTGTCTGTTCTGCCATGTTTTGAGTGGAAGGACAGATATGTTTTGAGAACAGTCTCAGGGGCAGTGGGAAATAAAGCCCACCCTCTATGGCCTGGTGGGCAGGCAGGCAGGATTGCTGTTCCTGGCTGTGGGGGCAAAGGCCACTCACTGTTGGTTTTCTCCAGAAGCCAAAGCCTTCATTAGGTCGTTTGGTGTGTGGTTGCTTCTCACCATGTGTCCAAAATGGCATAAGGTTTCCAGCCTGACCACTTGCAGGAAAAACACTAATCATTAGGCCCTTGCACAGCACTTTACAAAAATACCCAAAGCCCTCATTTTGTGATGAGGAAATAGGGTCTCAAGGGGAATAACGGAGGCAGAGAAGCGACCCTGCTACCTCCATCACGGGTGGGCCACATCACCTCGAGCTATGGCATAAACACGTAATAGGCGTGGTTAATAAAAATCATTGTGATTTAATAAATAGCGTGACGTTTCTGTACCGGCTCCTCCCTGCATGTCCCGGAGCCCAGCGCGGGAGAGGGGCGAATGGACCTGGGCTGGGCCTCCAGAGCGCAGCCACGAGGTTTCTGCAGGCTTCCCAAGAGGAAGCATCACGTGGGTGACCTCATGCCACAGTGTTCTAAAAATCTCCCTCTGAAGAGTGTACCCCACAGCAAGGGGAAGGCCACAGTCACATAAGAATATAGATTTCTTAGGGAATGGACACGGCTGGGTCCACTATACATCATCGTGGTGCGTCTGGACCTCCTTGGCTCTGGAGCAGTATTTTTCACATAGTTTGAGGAACTCTGACAAAATGAACACGGATGAGGCCAATCCAGTTAAAAACAGCAAATCTGCCAATAGGTGAGAAGAGAAAAGAGTCAGCACACGCTGTGCCACGCAGGGATGATCTGTCACCCACAGGCTGCCCGTGCACTTGAGACTGGGTCAGCCAACTTGCTTCCAGCGGTTGGAAACATCTGTCAAAAGAAATTTACTTTGGAGGGTTCATTTTCTTTTGTCTCCTCGTACAGGACATTCACCAGCGACCCATGTGGACACTGCTTATTAGGTTACAGGGAAGAGCCCACTGTCCCGTCTTGCCTGAGGGTTTTAAGTGTACTTATCTGCATGGCCACAGACCTTACTGACCATCGTGTGACCCTCATGAGCCAGGCTGGCACCACAGCCCACCCCGTGTGCTGTCTCGGGGGGCCGCCTACCAGCCTCCCTCCCAGGAGGGACAGAGGAGCATGAGACAGGGGGGCCCTGCTCCCTCCCTGGAAGCTGCTGTGGTCACGGCTGCTCTGCCGGTGACCTCCTCTGTACAACCCACCTTCCATCTCTGCTGCTGTGCCAGCCTGGGCAAGGACGCAGGGAAGTCCATGCCAGGGTGTGGGCACTTGGAGCCTTCAGAGAGCCCAGAGAGAATTACAAGATGGCTTGTCTCCCTGTCTTCAGGTAAGAAGGCGTCTGAGTCACACTGGCACCAAGGTCTAGTCCATGCTTCCCAGCGGGGGCACATCATGGCCCAAGCCCAGCCCGCCATAACCCTGGGGCCCCACAGGCTGCTTCTCCTCCCTGCTTTGTGTTCTGAGCCCCAAGGCTTGTGAGGCCAATTCCCCTTCCACTCAGGCCCCTCCTGGGGTGCTTTTGTGTTCTCTGTGTTCACATCGCTCTCCTGCCTGCACCAACGCAGAGCAGATGCTCACACAGGAGCCTACTCCTCTGAGGATGGAAGGTGTTGGGATTCAGCACCGCGGAAAGCTCTGCAGCTCGCGGCCCGGGCGGCCAGGGCAGCCTTCGATGGCCCTGGTCTTGGGTGACCTCTTGCTCCCATCCCCTCCACTCACCAAGTGCGCCCAGGTTCTCCGTCATGAAGACCTTCTGCAGGGGCGGGATGTAAATGACGGCCAGCTGCCCCAGAATCGACCCAAGGATCGAATAAAGGAACATGCGGTTACTGAGAAAGCCGATCTCAAATATCAACTTGGTCTGCGGGGAGGAGAAGGTTACACGTTGGCTTGTAGACACCCACTGCTCAGGTAAAGGCAGCAGTGCCCATAACTGCCTGCATGGAGCCAGAGTCCCTAAGCGACACAGGCAGTGACTGAGTGTTTCTGTGAACACCCTGTGGTTCTACAGGGAGCCTGAGAGGTGGCCCAGGGGTCAGCCTGGCCTCACCTGAGAGCGGCAGGTCAAAGCATTGAAGAGATCAAAGAGTACAAAGCATGTAAAGGTCATCGTGGTGCTGCGTGGACTGCTCGCCTTGTCTTCAGGCATCTAGAACACAAAGGTGCAGGCGCGAGGGTTGGACGGGCAGGAGTTCCACAACACGGGCCTCTGCAGGCCCACCGACAGAGGTCGAGCAGGCAGCCTCCTGCAGTCTGGAGGTCGGATAGGAGCACACCAGAAGCGAGGCTCCCGAGCACACGCTCATCTGCCACCAGCAAGGACCCGGCTCTGGGAGGGGCCTCTCTACCAGGGGGCTCAGCTGCTGGAATGATGAGGCTTAAAATTCTGGATAGATCACCTGTTTAATTTCCTATCTAGATCACTGTGTATCTCAGCACAGAGGCTCCCTGAACCTGCAGGCCATGAGAAGTGACCCGCAAACAATCATCTCCAGATAAAAGATGGGAGTGTGATTTAGTAGATTTCAAATTGTTTCCTGGAGACAATAAAAGCAGTGTGTGTGGGGGGGTCCTGTCCCATGTAGAAGGAAGTCTGAATTCTCTTCCTCTCGAGGTGTTCATGCTACCATCTCCTGCCTCGCTAAGTCACCCCCTAGTCCTCCGCACTCTGCCTCATGCTCCTCAGTCCCTCTGAGGGCACCAAGTCCTGTCTGTGTTTGTCATGAGCCCCATGGTCCAGTCCCCAGCGTCTGCACCCACAGGTGCTCAGTGCATGTTCGCTGAACAAGCCAGCAAAGCACTTCACATACCTCCTTCCAGAAGATGAACAGGGTCCCACTGATGATGATGGCCGCGGACATGAGGACTTTCAGGATGAGGGTTCTGCTGAGGATCGTGTCCTTGATGCTCCGTGGTGGCTGCCTGAGGACGTCTTTGTCAACTGGCTCTACCCCCAAGCTGCTCAGAACAGGAGACAAGACACTTTGAAATAAACTGTAAATAAAAAAGGACACTTGAAACAGAGATGCACTCAAGCCTCCCAGGCCAGCCCTCCAGTCAGCATCGAAGGCACAGCCAGGACAGGCATCTGCTAAACGCTCCAAGTCGTCCCACGGGAGCCGGGGCTTTCCCATCCTTGCTGGAACGCCCGCCTGGCAGGAGCTCCAGTGTGAAGCCTGCTGTCCAGCCTCCCGGCCCCTTGGCTTCTCCATAGCCTGGACCTTGCGGGCAGCCATACCCCCCTTCTCCCCAGGATAGTGAAGGAAGACCATCCAACAAGGCCAACCATAATGGGCTTGCGCCTTCTAAGACACCATCGTGAAGCCTGCTGTCCAGCCTCCCAGCCCCTTGGCTTCCCCATAGCCTGGACCTTGTGGGCAGCCATACCCCCCTTCTCCCCAAGATAGTGAAGGAAGACCATCCAACAAGGCCAACCATAATGGGCTTGTGCCTTCTAAGACACCATGGTCTTTGACCCATGCTCAGTTCCTTAACTCAGGCAATTTCCATCACCACGTGGGGATCCCCCGACCCCTAGGTCATGCCTGGCCTCATTCCAGCTGGTGGGGAGAAACAGGCTCCAGGGTCTGCCCTCTGCACAGCCCCCCACTGACTGAGGGAGACCCATATTCAGCCAACTTTGAAACAGCAGGGTCAAGGCTAGACCAGCAGTGGAGGGGTGGCGGGAGCAGCCTGGGCTGAGGCCCCGCATCCCTCACGGCCCCTGTCCCAGGAAGAGCTTGTAGAAGAGGGAACCCTCACACTCGGCTTTGCGGGAACGGACTAGGACTCTTTCCCTAAGTAGCTGGTATTAGTGATGATTAATATAATAGCAGCAATAAATAAGCTATATTTGAAACAACACCTACTATTTGCTCAAACACAGGTAAGCATGCTTGGTCCTGCAGGTCTCCCCAACTCCAAAGCCCATTCTTACCCCTGCATCACTATTCCCTCCTCATTCATTCACATAGACAAAAATTTCCTAAGCACCTACTGTGTGCCAAGCACTGTTCTAGAAGCTAGGAATAAAGCAGGAAACAAAACAAAACCCTGCCTCCATGAAGCTGACATTTTAAAAGGAAGATAGATTATAATCAGATGAGGAAATATATACATACGTTCCCCTCTAGGAAAAAATACAGCAGGTTGAGGAGATGAGTGGGAGGAGACTACTAAAGTAATCTGGGAGGACTTCTTGGAGGCAGTGACCTAATGAAGTGTGGAAACGAGCCATGCACGTGGCCCAGGGCGAGTAATCCAGGCAGAGGGGGCAGAAGGTCCATCCTCGAGGTTCTGCCTGCCCCGCTGCTGCTTCCTCTGCCTTCCACTCCCTGTGTTCCCCCCAGGGCAGCACACTTTGGTTTTCTGCAAACTCCTTATAGGGATGCTGTTGGTTCGTCTCTGTAGCTCTACCCCCCTGCACTGAGTAGGGGTGCAGCCAGTGGGCCCTGGCAGAAGCCCCGCAGGTGGGAAGGAGATGCAGGGCTACCAGCCGCCGGCCTCACCTCTGTGCTGGTGGCCCGTCCATGATGATGTTGATCCACAGGATCTGCATGGCATTGAGGGGGCTGGGCAGGTTGAGCATGGTGGACAGAGTGATGAGGCTCAAGGCTGAGATGCTCCTGAGGGCACAAGTGCAGATACGGCCTGTCAAGGGCGCTGGCCAGACCACAGACGCAGCGCTTAGCTCCGCTGAGACACGCTGGCCTCTACTTACGTGCTCAGCTGAAAGCGGACAAAGTTTTTGATGTTATAAAAAATCCCCTTGCCTTCCTCCACTGCATTCCTGCAGGAGAGAAGAGACGTTTATTCATAGGCCCTGGCAGAAAGGCCCCGTGGCTGCTGGTCACTGAACAAAGTGGGGGTGACCAGCCTGGATGTGACATTGCACATGACCCTCATGCCGACATTCTTGGGGACACATTGGTGGGAGACGATATTGCCCTAACAGGTGCCTGACAGCCATGGGGGGCTGGTCTCCGAGCCATATTAGCCCTTCTGTGCAAAGCATATGCTTGATGCCTCTAATTTGGCTGTAAATTATTCTCTTGTCCCGAGCCCAGGGACCCCTCCCCTTGCCCAGAGCTCCTGAAGTGCTTAATGCATCTCGGCTATTTACCAAAGAGACACAGCAAAATCAATTAAACCTGACACTTAGA